CATGGAATCACGCATACAAGTTAATGCAACGAATGTGCTCAATTGATTAAGACACGGATGTGACTCACAGCCTGTGATGTTAAGCACATACCAGCTGTTTTCTCGATGGCATGAGTGACATATTTCTCCTTCTCCCTCTCTCTCTAGCTTTTATTCCCATTACCCTCTCCCCAGTGCAAGGTAGCCTACCAGGCTAAGCCATGGTTAACCTCCCTGTCTTTCCTTAGTTCATATTCTCTCTCTCTCTTGTAATTGTTCTTAATAAACACATAAATAAATAAATAAATAAATAAGGAAACTTACGTATGATCTTAGGGAATGCATCGTCTTAAAACTTGACTGAAAAATGCATCACCTGAGAGCTTGGCTGGAATGGGCTTGACGACAGTTTAATTGTTGACAGTGAGTCAGCTAAGTTTTTCAGCGTCTTTTGGAACTAATTTGTGGATAATATTGTACTTTATTATTGTATATTGTGCTTCGCCACCTGTGTAGCATCCAACAAGGGCTTACAGCGTTGTAAAGAATAAAATAAATAACTAAATATAGAAATAAACTATTATGTAATGAAAATAAATTGATTAATAAATAAATCTTTTTCACGCTTGTCATGCTGTTGAATCCAGCGATTATGGCTCGCAAGTTTTAAACTCAAGATATAAAAGGATTTTTTAGTGAAATCACCTTCTTCATTTTCCTTTGTCTCGTTAAGCTTTTTTTTACGCGCTCTAAATTTTCAAGGTAAGTCATCCTTAAAATGCCGATAAACAGGCTTTATCTTGCATGACCAGTACGCCGAAACAAGCCCTTACGAGAGCTTTGCTCTGAAACATGCCAAAACGAAAACTTGTGTCACTTTTGATAGAACCGCAGACTTGTGATGAACATTAGACCAGTATAGCTTTAAAAAAAAAAGAAACCTCCATTTCACCAACGTCGGGCGTCGTTGCCCAAGGAAGATCAGAAGCAGCTGAGGCTAATGGAGATCAAACTTGTTGGGAAACGAGCAATATATAACACAAGAAAATTCCTGTGACATTTTGGAACTTTCAAGTGAAAGAAAGTTTGTGACCAGATACATGAAAGTAAATGAAACAGGGAGAGCCTTAATGCACTAGCCTCAGTAGAGAGACGGTCATGCGATATTGTCGTACGCTTATTTTTTTTATCGAGCTCTGCTTTGAACTTTTAAAGTTCGCAGTATTGTAAAAAAGTTGAGTGAGGCAACTACCGTACCATGGTTAAAAGGCTTTTTGGACTGACACGTAAAAGCACGACACAAAAAAGAAACTCAAGCGGCAAAACATGCTCTCTTTTTTTTTCAAAGCGCAGTTATTGCAAACTGAGAGTGGTAATACCGTCATTATTGATCATGTCGCAAGCACTTTGGCCTTCTGGGACTCGGAATGAAAGCGTATCTAAAACAAAACTTAAATGGTTCTCCTGAAATGGGGTGTTCACTTTCGCAACTACACCTTCGGGAGCATGAGGTGACTGAACACCGTGAAAATATTCTCGTTCTATTCAGTATTTTGCGCAACACTATTTACCGGAGAATTTCGCTTAGTATGCAGCGAAACATGAAGAAGATAAGGAGACATTCTCCGCCCATATAATCGCGAGTTGATTCAGGCAGTCTGTACTGGCTTGAAGGATAAAGTTACATGCAAAGAACCACAAGCTACATGCAGTGTTTACAATTCTGTGATTCACCCATGTATTAACTGTCAAGGAAGAAACAAAATTTCTGGGGCTGCTTTTTTTTTTTTTTGACGCAACATCAATGAAAAACAGCAAACAGTAAAGCCAATGAAGGTTTGGGGAATGCTAATTGGGCTATTTTAAGTACACTAAAATTGTTATGAAATAAGTGTGAAGGAAGTGAAGTGAAAGAAAAGAAAACGTGCGGCCGGCAGGGAACGAGCAAGCAACCTACGAATAGTAATGGTGACAGTCAAACACAGCGCCGTGGTAGCCTGTCAACCTACATACTCTCATCCAATATTTTGATTTTCAGCAACGCAACTGCTTTAGCGCATAAAAAATTGGCAGCATATCCAAAGAGTGAATGATGGAGAATGCAGCGAAGCATTTATCCATCCATTCGTTCTTGCTTCTGTCCGTCCATGCGTCCGTCTGTGTGACAATCCATGCGTTCAGCCGCCCGTCCGTGCGTGCGTCTGTTCGTGCGTCTGTCCCTGCGTTCGTCCATGTATCTGCCCCTGCGTCCGTTCATGAGCCCATCCATGCATCTGTCTGTGTGTCCGTTCATCCATCTATTCAACACTCCAAGTACCACCATCTCGCATTTTTTCATCATATATTCCCCATATAGAAACACCGCTATCCAGCGGACATTCCACGGACTAAACGAGAGGTAGCACACGCACACTTTGATACGGCGTGCGCTTCGGGTCATCTTCCCACCTTTAACCACCTCGAGTTCATGGTATATACTAGTTCATTGTATCCATGGCACCGCGGTCCAACGCTCGCTAAACCTTCCTAAAACTAAGCAGGTTACACCCAGCGAGTATAACGTAGCAACCTTTTCTTGTCAGATAGTGCTCAATGTACATGCCAATGGCTGCTGATGGGGACCGCAGCGTGCGCGTTAACTAAAATCCGGATGCTCCTGTCTCCCAGTCCCCATTAGCAGCCATTGGCATGTACATTTAGCACTATTTTTGAATGTTCAACAACGCACAGAAGAAATCTCTCACCAGCACCACCTTGGAAGTCAAAATGTTATACTCATTACATACTACAACGGCTACGAGGGACGAACGGGTGCCGCTGTAAGGAGCTTCACCCCTAAAAAAGAAACACAACTCAGGCGCCGCGTAAGCAAAACGCGGCAATCCTCACACACCAGCGGCATTTGTGAACTCCGGGGTGAAGAAAAGGGGGAGAAAATGCAGTGGTTCGAGGTTACGCTCCTTCTATCCGCGAAAACGTTCTATATAGGTAAACAATAGCGGACTGGCATTTACTGAATTAGATTTCGGTTTGGTAGTCAAACGGCGACAAGCAGGATCGCCAGTGTGCTCACTTGTGGCATGGTAAACGGGCGCGTGCTTCCATAGCGAAAGAAACTTCGTGGGTGAGTGCACGCAACAAAAAATTCACAGCATATCCACGGAGAAAGTGATGATGAGTTGGGCGAAGCTTCGCGGGCTCTTAGCTCGAGATCCACCTGCCTTTTTGCGCGTTTCACCACCGCCTTTCGCGCACGCATCTCGAACGCGTTCGTCCGTTTATCTGTCCGTCCATCTGTTCGCCCGTCCGTCCATCTGCCTGTCCATCCATCCGCCCGTTCGTCCGTCCGTCCATCCGTCCATCCGTCTGTCTGTCCGCCTATCCGCCCACCCGTCCGTCCGTCCGTCTGTCTGTCTGTTTGTCGGTCCGTCCGTCCGTCCGTCCGTCCGTCCGTCCGTCCGTCTGTCTGTCTGTCTGTCTGTCTATCTAGGACAATGAGCAGACATATCTAGGACATGAGCAGACATCTATCTAGAACAACAACGAGGGGCTGAGCCACAACGTAAGCTGCTTCATCCCTAACACTGTGAAGCTGCGAGTGCGTCCAGAAAGTGATGAAAAATCTGAAGCCTATAACAATCCTTCGTCTCATAACCAACGAGACAGAAGCGGTATTTGTGAGTCTCCGAACTAGGAAACGCAACCACAGTGGCACCGTTTGTGTCAGCACAGTCCTTTAATACCGTTGTAGCATTGAAGGACTCTGGTGTCAGTAAGCGCCTGCGTAATCACTTAAGCGGGGGCGACAAACAAGAGAGCAATGAATTGGTTGCGTCGGGTCGAGAGGCAAGTTCAGCAAGCCAAAACAAGTCGCTAATGCTCTTTTATTGATTTATTTCTCACTTTTGGTGTGAATATCAATAATGTTACGACTCAGCAATCGTATACTTATCAAGTTTGGCATATTTTGATTTTTTTTACAAAATATCACTGTATTTTCGCAATAGAACACTGAGTGCTGAGTGAGTTGAAAATAGCCTAAACTAAGTACACTTTCAAGCAGTTTTGCTAAAATAGTTGAGAATTGCGTTTGTGTCGTTCCGTCTTCGCCTGCAGCTTGTAAGCACACTTACTAGAAGGCATTTCTTCCGTGGTCCTACAATCCGTTTTGACCCTTAGTCTGACGATGCATGAGCCGAAAGGGAACGAATTGAGCATTGCATAGTTTTCTGTTCAAATTAGTCCACAAACAATGCTGATGTATTTCTTCAGATAAACGCTTTCTGCTTTGGTTGTATTCACCATTGCTGCGCTTGAATTCTCCATAAGCAAAAAAAAACAGCTAGGGTATCTTAAGCACGCAAGTGTTCAAAACCTAGCGTAAAATCACACTGCAAAAATAAAATTCACTTGTTTGTCGGAATCTTGATTTAGTGAAGGCAAAAATAGACCTGTTTACTGTGCGAGAACAGAGTGGGCTGACATAGATTCGAATGCAGAAAGCTGGTTTTATGGACTGCCCCTGGAAGTGTCTTAGCGTCGGGGGAGCTCCCTGGATATCAAGAGAGAGAAACACAATAATCCCAAGTCGAGGGGTAGTGGATTTCCGAGCAGTTGGAAGTACTTCCGCATATATCAACAAAAAATGCAGTTCTCTTGCTGGGTACCTGATTCGTTGGGGAACGAGAGTAAGAAACAATCGGCCGTCCCTAAAACGCTGGATGTGCAGCTGTAGAACTGTTTTGTTTTGTACAGATTCAAGTTGTGTTCTTCAGAAGCCTCTCTTTCAAACAGAACACAAAAAATAAAAACCAAGCCTGAAGCAAATTAAAGTTTTCACGAGTAAAACGAAAAAATTTAGCCTTGTAACTCTATATTTTACGCTCTTTCCAACCACAGACAGCCAGAGATTCGTGCATGATATCTTTTTCTGCAGCCATGATTCCTAGATTACGTGAAAGATACATTTATTCCGATGTGTGTAGAAAATACAAAGGGGGCTTAAGGCATTCGTCACTTACCACAATGGTGGAGACACGGAACGTTCTGTTCTGGATGACGTCAGTGAGCTCTTCCTGCTTTTGCTGCACGTAGCCGCGGACGAAGCGTATGCCCGTGCGACGTGTCCACGTGCCAACCTGGGAACGCAATCGTGGGGCACTTTTGTTCGTAAATCTCATTTCAAACGAGGGTACATGAACCCACGCGCCAACAGGTGCATCGGGCAATGAAGTGGCCAAACGATATTGGGGTCTTTCAGAGTGCGAACTAGCATTTGCCGAGCCGCTCACGTATTAAGATAGATAGTTCTAGCCTCTCCGCCTGTCACGGGCTTGTTCAATTATTGGGAATAGCATAGCGTGCGTATATTTTTTCACAAGCACATGAGCCACCATGGTATGGCTCGAACACCACCTCATGAATTACGGTACAAAGAGTAAACCTTCGAGGCAGTATTTTAACTTCACTTCTTGCTGTGAATCTTTGATTGATTTAACATTTATTTCAGCCCTGAAAAACTGTACTTCTAAGGAACTCTTCCATCTACAAGTTTCAATCACTTCATTGCTCGAAATCACAGCAAATTTGTTGTGTTTTTCAACAGGTGCCCAAACAATAGAAAAGATTATGTGCTACAATAGCTTTTTTTCAGTATTTTTTATAAATATGTATGAAGACATGATTGCGTAATGGTGATTTTATGAACATGATAATGCAACATTTCTTTTTTTAAGTTCAGTGAGGAGACATAAAATGTCTCCTTACTTAACTCGCGCAATTGCGTGGAACAGGATCCCAGCAGGCAACGTTGACGTACCTTCTCGAAGCCCCTTGATTTGAGCTCAATGACGTTCAGGGAGAAGTCAGTCCTCAATCCATCTTCGTCAAGACGTACGTAGCCAGTAAGCCCCTTTACGTGGACCTGCACTGATGCATCGATCACGTGTTTACTCAACTTTATGCTTAAGCTGGAACTGGCTGAGAACGCTGCTGCAAGAACACATTGGAAAGAATTACAATTGCAGCTTTCCTAGACATTAGGCGTGCCTTTGACACAGTCAGCCCCGTACATGTTTTGTACAGGTTATGTAGTCTAGGAATGAAGGGACGCCTACTTCGTTGGATTTCTGATTTTCTGACTGGCCAAACTGTATTCATGGCGATAAGCACTGGCAGAAGCACGCCACGAGGCCCCAAAGCAGGTGTACCCCAAGGAAATGCGTTAAGCCGTATACTATTTAACATAGGAATGCACCAACTGCCGACTCCCTTACCATCACCAGTACACATTTCAATGTACGCAGATGATATTTGCCTCAGGTCGTCAAGGCAAGAATGCAGGAAAGTACAGGATATGCTTCAAGAAGGCATAAATATAATAGTGCGCTCTCTGTCAGAATGTGGCATGAGCGTTTTACTAGAAAAATCTGCGGTGTTACCTTTTAGCAGAAGACGTCACTCACGACCAGCTCCACCTCTCGGTCAACCAGACTGTAATTCCTGTTGTGCGCAAGCGTCGTTTCTTTGGCATAGCACTGAACCGCATGCATATAAGTACCTCGGCGTTTACATTACCAACAATCTATCTTGGCACACGCATGTTACCTACATCTGTAATAACGCTAACCGAACGCTAGGATACTTACGCCGCAACTTTTCTCGCGCTCCACTGTCCCTCAAAATTCTATTATACCGATCACTAATTCGCCCAAAGCTTGAGTACGCGTCCGCTATATGGGATCCCGTGCAGCAAAATTTAATTAACGCGTTAGAATCTGTTCAGAACCGCTCAGTTCGGTTCATTTGTTCTAATTATTCCCGTACTGCTAGCATATCAGAAATGAAATCTAACCTTGACCTACCCAATTTAACTGTCCGGAGGAAACTGGCGCGACTGCATTTTTTTCATAAGATATTTTTTCACAATCCATCAATGAAGCGAGACCTCATTTCACAACCGTCATACCACTCATCGCGCATTGATCATCAGCATAAGGTTGCCATTCCGTTTTGCCGCACCAAATTCTTTTCAGCAGCCTTCTTACCGAAAACAGCCGCCGATTGGAACCACCTTCCCTCTTCCGTTGTATCAATAACAGACCCTTTGTTATTCAAGACTGCAATTTCTCAGCAATGCTTGTAACTATACGCAGTTTTCATTATCTATCTTTGTCTTGTATGTGCTTGAATTCTTATACATTTTTAGTTGACTTATGTTGCCTTCCTGATTTGCGCATCTGATACTTGTTTCTTTATTTTGTCTTTTTTTCTTGTGTGTTATATATGTTGTACCCACCCCCTCTGTAATGCCCTACGGGCCCTGAGGGTATTCTAATAAATAAATAAATAAATAACCTGGGGACTTCATATTTCCAACATTGAGGAGCGGGTCAACTGGACACGGAATTTTCTCCGATGTATTACAGGAACCAATTGAGTGGCACATCAGAATCACTTTTGAAAGTTTATAGAGCTCTTGTTCGACAAGCTACCGCATATACATTACCAGTGATGCAAAGTATGTCTCAGACAAATGAGCGTAAATTAAACAACATCGTAGCCCACAGTCTACGTATTTGCCTGGACTTACCGCGCTCAACTCACAGTGGCCTCATAATCGCAGAAGCGATAGAACCACAAATTCAAGTTCTTCGCTTCAAAGAACTCTGCCGCCTTTTCTTCCGCTTATCGCAAAGACATTATGCCCATTCACTTCGTGAGAAATTATTCGAAAAAACGGGCGAATTGGTGACACCTTGCGAGCTTACGAGGCGGCACTTTAACAAGAACAATATTCGTTGCGTCCCGATATCAATTTTCCTCCTTGGCAGCTTACATCTCCTCCAGTAACTTTGGAGATCAAAGTGATAAAAAAATTCTCGACACACTACCTTGAGGCCAAATTTCTAACGCTTCAAAAAATCTGCAATTACCAAGACCATTTCACATTTGTTATCACGGATGGCTCTACGTTGGACGAAAGCTCGACTGCGGCTTTTCATATACCCTAATTTAAGGTAAAAAAAAAAGATTTCTGACTTTCTCGAGAGACATCGTCTACAGAAGCGGAGTTCGCTGCAATATTATAAGCTTGAAAATTAATTGCTTAAAGTCAGCAAAGACAAAACTGGGTAATTTATTCTGACTCCAAAGGAGCGCTGCAAATTATAAAGGATTGGTATTTTCATATAGATGATAGCATCATATATGAAATATTAGGAACAATCACCATCGGTTACCTGGGCGGCCACAAACTTTCAGTGGATTATAAGCCACGTAGGAGTAATAGGAAACAAAATTGCTGTCAAATTAGCCACTGCAGCACACAAAAAGATTTACTCGACACCAGCGCCCGTTTATATCTCAGAGAGCAACAAGTCAAGGGTGCTTACCAGCGCAAACGACAGGGCAGGAGGGGACAGGAGAAGAGACGAGACAGAGCGCTGAACTGCCAACAATTTATTTCTTGTGAAGGTATTCGCTTTTATACAGTTATCTAGATGCAGGGATCGTACCACACTCGAGATCATAGAGGCAGAAAAGATTTGCTTTGAAAGATGCTTGTGTTAGCACACCTTCTGTCGCGCTCACCGATAAGGAAAAGCTGTTCCTTTGCTTGTCAATGTGATGTACTTATGCACTGTCATTGTGTTTCGCGCATGACTAGTGTGACTGGTAACTGCATAAAAGCGAATACCTTCGCAAGAAATAAACTGTTGGCAGTTCAGCGCTCTGTCTCGTCTCTTCTCCTGTCCCCTCCTGCCCTGTCGTTTGCGCTCGTAAGCACCCTTTATGATGTTATACCAACACGCCCAATCCCACTGGCTCTAGAGCAACAAGGTTCTTTCCGAACTGTGCCACGAATTATGCAAAGATACCAAGTGGATCCCTCTCTCCGATTTTCACCTAATACCAAGATCGATTGACCATTACGCTATTGCACCGTCTAAATTTGGGTGTTTCATACACAACTCACCTTTTATGCTGCATAAAAAGAAGAACGTCCTCACACTGCGACCACTGTGATCAGTGATGGTGTCAAGCAGTTGTAAGCGTGTTGCAACTGCTTAACACCATCACTCCAGTTCTCGCAAGCCTTCATAAGTGTGCTCCTTGAGAACGCAAGCGGCACCATCATGGCTTTACCATCGGCAAAGTTTTGGGTGCGTGGAACCGTGCATAAAAGGTAATGCAACGAATGTGCTCAATTGATTAAGACACGGATGTGACTTGCCGTCTGTGATGTTAAGCACGTAACTCCCATTTTGTCGACGACATGAGTGACATTTCTCTCCTTCTCTATCTCACATTTATTACCCTTACCCTCTCCCTAGTGCAACGTAGCCTACCGGGCTCAGGCATGGTTAACCTCCCTGCCTTTCTTTCATCCTTATTCTCTCTCTCTCCGATCATGTCGACGCGTCAGAGGAGCATATTCTTTTAGAATGTCCGCAATACGATCAACAACTCGTTGAACTGAGAGATCGCTTAATTTGACTTGACAGACGACCTTTCTGGATTACAAAAATACTTGGACCGTGGCCACATTTAGATAATCAAAGGCGTGCAGTGAGCACCCTCCGCGATTTCTTTATGAACACAAATCTAATTAACTCTTTTTAGTTCATATCATACCTTGCCGCTATCGGTACGGACTCTATCCGCAGTGTGATCCCGATATATAGTAACTGGACTATGACCCTACATGTTGGACACTGGACTTATTCATGCATTATATGCCCTATAATGCATATAGTATGGTAGATATTGCGTTTGATTAGTCTTTTTTTCCTATTTTATTCCTAATTTTGCTTTTCTGACTGTTTCTACTGTACATTACTTTTATGATGTTGGGATTGCCTGCTCTAATGTAGCCTGCCTTCCGATGTACCGCCTAATATAAAAACTCAGACGTTTGAAACCGAGAAGTAAGGCTATATTAAGCGTTCTTTATGGCACAACAAAAGCTTGCGATGCGTTCCTTTCAGCCCACAGGCTCCACCGCGAGTTCGAAAACGCCGCCATGAAATTGTTCTTTTAGCCAATTGTTCTATCAAACCACACCCCATCTTTGTATTACCGGAGTTCTTCAGCACTTCTATTGGTCGTCAAGCTTCGCCGTAACTCTATGAGAGAGTTGGTGCGCTCCGGGCGGAAGCCGCGGGGCAGCGTTGCATCACCACCCGGGACAACAGGCAGATTAGAGGGACGCTGGCAGCTGGGGTCACTGCATAATTTCGTGGTGTGTCATCGCTAACATTTCACCGTATGATTACTATTGTTCCTAGGGTGCTATGCCTGAATATTGGGAAGGATGCCGTATACCTCCTGTGCACCTGGTTGTCAGTCCGGCTGCAAGTAAAATGAAAAAAAAATAAATGGCAGCATATCCACGGAGTGAATGATGGAGAGTGGGGCGAAGCATTCGTCCGTCCATGCGTCCGTCTGTGTGACCGTCCATGCGTCTGTTCGTGCACCCGTCCCTGCGTTCGTTCATGCGTTCATCCATGCATCTGTCTGTGTGTCCGTACGTCCATCTATTCAACACTCCAAGTCCCACCATCTCGCATCTTTTTATCATATATTTCCCATATAGAAGCACCGCCATTCAGTGGACATTCCAAGGACTAAACGAGAGGTGGCACACGCACACTTTCTTACGGCTTGCGCTTCGTGTCTACTTCCCACCTTGAACCACCTTGAGTTCATGATATATACTAGTTCACTGTCTTCATGGCACTGCGGCCCAATGCTCGCTAAACCTCTCTAAAACCAAGGAGGTTACGCCCAGCGAGTATAACGTAGCAACCTTTTCCTGTCAGATAGTGCTCAATGTACATGCCAGCGGCTGCTAACGTGAAATGAGAGGCAGGAGGATTCAGCTTTTAATTTCTTACGACTTGCGCTTCGTATCTGCTTCCC